TGGTCTGTCCTTACTCAGGCTAAAAATCTGTCAGACAAGTTGCAGCTGGGTGAGGGAGCCCCAAACCTATCAATAAAAGGCCCAAGACCCAGCATCAGCACCAGCCTGCCTTGCTTCACAGCTGGGCCTTTTCTGGGCCTCATCTGGGCACTTCCAAACCTGATACAAAGAGAAGGAATCTGCAGATCTCTCTGTAGCTCATGATGCATGGCCACAGGCAGTGGCTGACTTTGCACCTATGTGGAGACACAAGAGCCAGTGTGTCCAGTGGTCAGTGTGAGACCGTACCAGATTACAACTATTCACATCCATAAGCGACACGCTCAAGGGGCAGACTCAGTGAGCATCAAAGCCCTACTGAAGCAAGTACTGCTCCATAAGGGTATTTCCATAAGCAGCTCTTCCACTGTAATCTCAGCTGGTCCCCACAGTCAATTGGTCTGAAGGTCAATTCCTCGCAGTGACATCAGTAGCAGTCAAGGCTCAACTACAACAAAACTGTGCACACGGCCCACAAAGGGGTGCATCAAGAGTGTCCACCCTCAGTGATTGGAGAGGCTGAGCCACTGGGCCCTATAGGACACCTACTACACAAGACTACTTATCAGCTCATGGAGACTTAGCTGCTACTCAATACATAGAAACAAACAAAGGGAAGCAACTGAATTTCAAAGAAACATGTCACAAATAAGAGAAATGAAGAAAGAAAACCACTGGATATAGAGTTCAAAACCACACTTTAAGGTTACTCAAAAATATTTTAGAAACCTCCAAGAAACTTAGACTTTCAAGGATCTTAGTGAGAGTGCCAAATAAATAAATAAATAAATAAATAAATAAATAATGGAAAGGACCAGTCATAAATTGAGCATACACTCATTGAAATAAAGAATAATATACAGGGATTCAACAGTAGACTAGAGGATCCTGAGAATCAAATCAATTATTTTAAATACAAGGAAGCAAAAAACACCCAGCCAGCAGAGCAAAAAAAAATTTAAAAATATGAAAATAGTGTAAGGAGCCTCTGGGACAACTTCACATGTACCAACATTTGGATTATGCGGGTGCCAGAAGAAGAGAGAGAACAAGATATTGAAAACTTATTTGAAGAAATAATGACAGAAAACTTTCTCTACCTGATAAAAGAAATAGACTTACAAGTCCAGGAAGCACAGAGAACCCCAGACAAGAGGAATACAAAAAGGACCACAACAAGACACATCATAATTAAAATTCCAAGGGCAAAAGACAAAGAGAAAGTCTTAAAAGCAGCAAGAGAAAAACAGCTAGTTACCTACAAGGGAGTGCCCATACGACTGTCAGCTGATTTCTCATCAGAAACTATTCCTGCCAGAAGGGAATGGCAAAAAATATCCAAAGTGATGAATAGCAAGAACCCATAACCAAGATTACTCTACCCAGCAAAGCTATTGTTTAGAATTGAAGGTCAGATAAAGAGCTTCACAGAAAAGAAAAAGCTAAAGGAGTTTATTACCATTAAGCCAGTATTATATTAAATGCTGAAGGGTATTCTTTAAAAATAGGAAGAAGAAGAAAAGGGTAAAGATAAAAAAATATGGACAACATAGTGACAACAAAAACATATCTATTTAACAACTGAATCTAAAAATCAAATTATTAAAAAATCTAATGAACAGAAAATACTGGTGAATGAAATAGAATCAGAGGCATGGAAATGAAACAGAGTGATGATTCTCAAAGGGAAGGGATTGAGCGGGGGGTATGGGAAGAGATTGGACAAAGATCTTCTATGCATGTATGCATTACCTATGGACACAGACAATAGTGTAGTGAGGGCTTGGGGTGGGATGGGAATAGGGTAGAGAGGAGTAAAGAGGGTAAAAAAGAGGGTCTTCTGTCTCCCAAGAGCATTCTCCTGATGATTGTGGGAGAAATGGATTACCAGTCAGTTGCTTTAACACCTTCAAACAATTAACTCTGACCTCAGTTAATACTCCTGGGCCACACATTTTTTTCAAGTTATTATTTGTTTTAGTACATTTTATTTAATATTAAAAAAGAATAATCTTTTTATTACCTCAATGACCATCAATTTGAACCATGCAATGAGAAGTGGGAATAAAGCATTTTCATAATGACCATCTCTCTTTAAAGGTCTTTTGATATCCTTTGTCATCTCAGTTACTGTTTGTCTTCAATTATACCTTTTTATTTGAACCTTTTCATATGAGTTTATGAATATATTTAATCAATTTTGCAATGTTTCTAAAGTCAAATTTATTTCCTTCTCTGCACAATTAATTTAACTTGTTTATATCAATCAGATCTTTAACTTATTTTATAATAGTAACTTATATTGCTTACTCTTCCCAGTACCTAAGGTATAAAGAGAAAACTATTCAAAGTTAAGTATCAGAAATAAATAATACATATATTAATTCTTATGTTGCATTTACAAGAATAATGATGTTCCTCTAAGATGATATAAATGTGTGCTTGATGAAAGACTGAAAATTGCTATTGAGAATGAGATCTCTGAATGCCTTAATCTTCTGCAAACTGGGGTCTGATTATATTTCTGTAGAGACCCATTTGAATTTATCCTTACCAATTAAGAGTCCATGAAACTACTCCAAATGAGATAATATGGGAGCTCAGTTGTATAATTCCATCAAATTCATTTTCATTTATGGCACATAGAACCTTCTGTGCAATTTTCAAGGTATTCAGAGCTAACAAGCAGCCCTGAGATTGCCATCTTTAGAAAGGCCTACTTGCAAGGCTGGCCTACTTGGTTAGAGACTGGAAACTAAATCATAAACAGTCCCCTATACTGATATAAAGTTTCTTTAAGTGATAAGTGGCTCACTATGCCTCATCTATTTGTACAAACAACATGCATCATGGTGCACACCTTCTTGCCATCTGGGAGTCTGAAATTTTGACACATGCTAGGAAGAAGTTGCTCAACTGATGCTTTCTAAAAACCTTGGGCATTGAGTCTGCAACTAGCTTCTCTGGTAGATAACACTTACATAAGTCATCAAACTGGTGACTGGAGGAATTTAGCATGTCCTGTGTGACTCCACTGGTAAAGTACTCTTGTAAGCTTGTGCCTGATTTCCTGCAGATTTTACCCCATGTGCCATTTCATATCCTGATTTTACTTTGTAACCTTTTATTTTCATAGTACTTAGCTTCGAATGCATTAGGTGCTAAATCTTCTAGTAAATCTTCAAACCTGGGAGTGCTGGGGACATCTGACACACAGGATGAATTGAAATATCTATATTGAGGTACATAAATTCTAAATAAAAATATTTATTGAATACATACTATGTGAATAGAATTATGTTCAGTGAAACCAAGACAAGTAGCCTAGACCTATTTTAAGAAATATAAAGTAGGGTTATTTCAGTGGGAGTTTTGAAAATGTACACACTTTATCTTGTCCAAATTATCAGGAAAGCTAGAGACATATACATTAGCTATAAAAGAACAAGTAAGGTTTGGGTAGGCTATGATATTTGGAGGCAGGAGTAAGAAGCGTTTTAGAAGGTTTTCCTTCTAAAGTTTCACTTGAAATTGTTAAATGTATGGAAGGTATAATAAGTAAGTGAGATATCTATATCTATATCTATATCTATATCTATATCTATATCTATATCTATATCTATATCTATATCTATATATCTCTATCTCTATATCTATATCTATATCTATATCTATATCTATATCTATATCCATATCATCTATATCTATATCTATATCCATATCCATATCATCTATATCTATCTAATCTATCTATCTACCTATCTATCATCTATCTAAAGGGGTGATATGCAAATTAGCCAGGATGCTGTAATAGTCACAACCAGCTCAGGAGGAACAGATGGGTCCAGAGTGGAGACACAACACACAGGTGGGCGCACCCCCAGCCCCAACAGCCACAGCATGGTGGCCACTGGGGCCAGACTCAGAGTAGAGACACAATACGCAGGGGGGCCTGCTCTCACTGGGAGACAGTGTGCCAGCAGTCCTGCCTCTGCACATGAGCTGCAGAGGAAACACCTTTTCTTACAGATCATTGGCTAAGCTCCCTGTAAGCCACTCACAATGTTCTTGATAACTTGGGTAATAAGAATCCAAGAAGGTGATCTAGCATTTTTCCACCTCACTCCTGGAAGAAAAAAATGAATGTCTGCTCCTGGTGGGGCTAAGAAATGTTGTATCCTGCCCTATCCAGTTTGGTTCAGTACCTAGATAGAGCCTCAGCCTGCAGATGGCAGGGTCTGGGTTTGATTCTTGTCAAGGGCATGTACCTAGGTTGCAGGCTCCTCCCTGGCTGGGACCAAGGTCAGGGCTCATGCAGGAGGCAACCAATCGAAGTGTCCCTCTCACATTGATGTTTCTGTCTTTCCCTCTCTCTTCTATGCTCTCTAAAAATCAACGGGAACATACCCTCCGGTGAGGATAAAAAAGAAAGAAAGAAATGTCATATCCTACAAAAGAGACATCTTGAGAATGCCTAAAGAAAGTTGTCATTTTTTCATGGTGAAGGGGCTGGAGTCCATGTTGATGAAAATACCTTAGTGGCTGCAGTGGCTGGCAGTGGCTTCAGCAGTGGGGTGATGGGGGTGGCCCCCTGCAGAGGTTGCCTCCTGCAGAGGGAGGCCAGACTGCAGCTTAGGCCTATTGCTCTGAGAGCCCCTGGATTGTCAGAGGAGGCAGGCTGGGCTGAGGAACCAGTTCCCCCAGTGCACAAATTTCATGCACCAGGCCTGTAGTAGAGTATATTGAGGAAATAAAAATAGAATAACGAGTTACTATGGCACAAAGTGGACTATTAAAATGATCTTGGTGAAAAATCTTAATACTCTGAATGCCTTATTTATAACTCAATTTCATGTAAAACTTATGGATTATTATAGAAAGCCTCCACATTTTTATATAATTTAAAAGTGTCCTTCTTAAACTCTAATTAAGTTTTATCTTTTCTGTCTTTCATTTGTTCAGATCCATCATGAGTGAGGAGTGGGACTCAAACTTTTCAGAAAACTGGAATTATATTTTGAGTGTCAATAACACAAAGCCTGATCTATACTCAGACATCAATATTACCTATGTGAACTACTATCTTCATCATGCTCAAGTGGCAGCGGTCTTCATTATTTCCTACTTTCTGATCTTCTTCCTGTGCATGGTGGGAAATACAGTGGTCTGCTTCATTGTAATGAGGAACAAACATATGCACACAATCACTAATCTCTTCATCTTGAACCTGGCCATAAGCGATTTGCTAATTGGCATATTCTGTATGCCTATCACGCTTCTGGACAACATTATAGCAGGTATGTTGACTTGTGTACAGTGCACTGATGATATGAGAAAATATCCCATCTCCCTGCAGCTATGGCTCAGTAATCTATTCATTGACATTTATATAACTTACAAGGTGATCCCCCCAATAAGTCTAGTACCAGCTCTGCATCATACATAGTGATTACTATGTTACTGGCTATATTCCCTCTGTTGTACTATTTTGTAACTGCCAATTTGTACATCTTAATCCCTTCACCTTACAGTGTTCGCTGAAGGTCACCAGAGAGTAAGATCTAGCACATGTTACCGAAGACTTTGAATTTACTTAATACAATTCAGAGCACACATAATATGGTAGAAATATTATTGAGAATATTATGAACTGTAAAGTTCAAGGAACTGGTCAGGCTGGTTTCAATTAATGTATCCTCTTTAACCTAATATAAATATACCAGTAGCCCAGTGCACAAAATTTGTGCACATAAAAAGGGAATTAGAGGAAATATTTTAATATTGCTATTTGTCCTTTCCCTATAATAGAAGTGTCAGAGATGAAAGAAAATTAGTAAAATTGTATATGAAAATCTCCCTCCTGTCAGAGTCTGGGGCAAGTCACGGGAATTAGAGTCAAGTCCCTACCCACCTGCATGAACCCTGAAATTGTGCAAAACCCAGACCCGGCTGGCTCCATCCCCATCAAGCCCCGCAGGGCAGGGGGCACAGCCTGGTGGTAGGAGAGGCTCCTGCCACTGCTCAGCCTCAGGTCCTCTGGCCTGGTGCCAGCAGGGGGGCACATCTCAGGTTCCCCTTCAAGCCCTACTGGGCAGAGGGCGGAGTGTCAGGTCCCACATCAAGCCCTACTGGATGGGGGGTGCAGGCTCAGGTTCCCCAGTGCAGCTTCAGGTCCCCTACCCCCGGTTTTGGAACATGGGGTGCGACCTCAGGTCCCTCAGCCCCAGTGGTGGGTCAGGGGGTGTGGCCTCAGGTTCCAGGGCACAGCTTCAGGTCCCCTGGTCCTGGTACCGGAGCACAGGGTGCAGCCTCAGATCCCCTGGCCTGGCCTCAAGTTCCCTGGCCCTGATGCAGGGGCAAGGGTGCAGCCTCAGGTCCCCTGGCCTGGCCTCAGGTCCCCCAGCCCCAGTGCAAAACTGCATGGACGTGAGGGCATGAGGGCATGAGGGCGTGAGGGTGGACAACCATTTGCACATTAGCTCTTTATTATATAGGGTATTTATTTATTTTTTATTTTTTTAAAATATATTTTATTGATTTTGTACAGAGAGGAAGGGAGAGAGACAGAGAGTTAGAAACATCAATGAGAGAGAGTCATCGATCAGCTGCCTCCTGCACACCCCCCACTGGGGACATGCCCGCAACCAAGGTACATGCCCCTGACCGGAATCGAACCCGGGACCCTTCAGTCCCCAAGCCAACGCTCTATCCAATGAGCCAAAAACGGTTTCGGCTATATAAGGTATTTAGACTCTCTGTGGTTAGCTAGGGATATTTTCCACAGTTTTTGATGTAAGATGGAACAGCAGTCCCAATGGTTTCTCAAAATATGGACATTTCATCAGTGGGAACTTACATGTGCAAAATAAGTAAGTAAATAGGTAAGTAATCTACCATAGATTATTTCTGGGCCTGCATTACTACTTCTTTTGCACTACATTATACAGTATACTCTGGTATATTTCCAATTCCCAGTAGAGTTCTGATACATAGTACCTGCTTAACAAGTATTTGTTACTAATTAATGAATTGTACTCAAGATATTCATATTCCTAATATATAAGAAAATACTGAAATAATAGCAATATATTAAAAAAATTTAGAGCAGCATGAGCCATGTCATAGTTCTTATCTTTTCATAACATTAACATCAATTTACTGAAGAATAAGAATTTCTCTGTAGGATTCACCTATTTCCTTCCTTTCTCTGGAGTGGGAGTTCAGAACATCTCTTGTTCATAGATTCTGTGTCTTTGTGATGTGTATCATTAAATAATGATATTTATCAAGGATGTTCAATTTCAAAGTACTGTGCTAGACAAAAAGAATTGATAAAAATGAGCATAACTGTTCTCAAGAAACCTAGTCACAAATAACAAATGCTCTCAATATTCCCTCTGTAAATATTTACAATTAAATTATTATTTCAAAAATTTTTATATACATTATCCTTACTTGCCTCTGATTTACATTCCTAGGAGGCAGCCACATTGAGCAATTTTTACTTTATTTTTGGTAATGACTATCATATTTCTAACTAGTGTGTTTTCATTATATTGAGCTGTCTTCAAACTGTAGAGATGTAATTTACTTTCATAATCCTCTTCTACCAGAAGAGGTAGTTGTCCTTACCAGACTCTTCTGAAATAACAGCATTAGGGCAAAAGAACATAAATCCATAGAAACTGCATGTCAGGTGCTATTGAGTGTGAAGTGGGGAGCAACAAGAGTAGCTGAAGCCGAAACCGGTTTGGCTCAGTGGATAGAGCGTTGGCCTGCAGACTGAAAGGTCCTGGGTTCAGTTCTAGTCAAGGGCATGTACCTTGGGCCTGCAGACTGAGAGGTCCTGGGTTCAATTCCAGTCAAGGGCATGTACCTTGGTTGCAGGCACATCCCCAGTGGGGAGTGTGCAGGAGGTGGCTGATCGATATTTCTCTCTCATTGATGTTTCTAAATTTCTATCCTTCTCCCTTCCTCTCTGTAAAAAATATCAATGAAATAAAATATATTTTTAAAAAAAGTAGCTGAAATTCTGTATAAATGTAATCACACATATACATACAAAACCACAAGTGTACATTCACACTAATGTATGTTCACCCTCTTTCCTACTCTTACTCTCTCAATATGAATCCATGCTCCAGTAGGTTGCTGCCAACCTCCTGTAGCTCTCCGCCTGCTGCCCTGCCTCCTGTAACTCCCCTCACCCCCCATAGCTCGCTGCCCTGTCCCCTCCTATAGCTCTCCACCACCCGCTTATAGTTCGCTGCCCCACCTTCCTGCAGATCCATGGTCTGATCATTACGTCATCAGTCATTACGCTCACAGCATAACAGATAATTAGCATATTCCTCTCCTATTATATAGTATCATCGTTTTTTATTGAATCACTATTCAGATTTTACATTCCTGTTATTACATGTATCTTACCCCTGATTAGCCAAGAGGAGTGCTATGATAGCAATTTTTCTCTTATAAGATGATTTTTGTTTTCCTGGGCTTGACAAGGGCATCATATTTTGATCTGCTTAATTTGGGGTGTGTACCTGGTAGTAATATGTATCTTCAAATACACATTCAGGTGTATTGATTTCTTGTCAGTATTTTCAAACATGGTACATAACCTGTAAATTGCATCTTTATTTATTTTTTTCTGGAAATACCCTCCAGGTACTCTTCGATGTTTTGTTCCAATCAAGGCACAGTGCCCTCCAGGCAGGGAGCTCAGCTCCTGCTCTGCAATGCCCCTTCACTAACACCCTAACAATCTCTTTACTTCTCCCAATCCTCTGTTGTCTGGATGCCATTTTTTCCCTCCTTTTATTTCTGTTATCTTCCAGAGAGAGGGTGAATTGAGATTAAAATGTTTAAAATCTTATAGATCTGAACGTATTTTTTTTTCTGCCCTCATACGTGACTAGTTAGATATATAAAGTATTCTAGGTTGGGCATTTTCCCCTCTCAAAATATTTAAAGAGACTGCTCTATTTTTATTCCAAAACCTGATATTATTGTTGAAAAATCCAGTGACTCTTGGTTTTTATGCTCATAATTTGTTGTTGTTCTGCCTGAAAGTTCTTGGGGCTTCTCTTTATCTTCAGTGTTCTGAATTATGGTGTCTTTTTTATTTTTCATTTTCTTTTGGTGAACACAAACTAGGTCATTTTAAGCCAAAAAAAAAAAAAAAAAAAGAATTCTCTTATATCCTGGAAACTTTCTTGTAGAAGTTTTTATTGTTTTACTTTCTTTAACTCCAATTAATCAGATATTTGAGATTTTTTTTCTTCCATTTTCTGCTCCTTATCGTTCTACTTTTCAATGATTTTCTTAATTTTCTCTTCCAGACTTTATGTTGAGTTCTTCATTTATGTCACAATATTTTAAAATCTTTGACCTGCTTTATGTGTTTCTTACACTCTATTGTATATGTTTCATGGATAAAATGTGTTATATCTTTAAGGTTATTAAAAATGATTTGTGGTTTGTTTGTGTTTTTTTTTTTTTTTTCATTTGTCTGCCTCATACTTTTTTTTTTTTCTAAATTTCTTTTTTTTTCCAGTTTGTTTTAGACTATTTTTATATTTTCTGTTCCCCTAATGTCAACTGCTACTTAGCTGCTTGTGTTTCAGAAGGAGGGACTGTAGTGCTTCCTTGAACTACTACATGTATGAGGATTTGTGTTAAGACTACCTGCAGCTTCATTAGTCTGGGCCATTCATTGGGAAACTCACAACTGTTAAGATCTGCATATCACTGTTCTTGGAAGAATATTTTCCCAGAAGGAAATTATCTGATCTACTACCATAGTATACAAGGCTGACTGACATTTGCATTCCACACTGAATGGGCCAACGGTATTGCATTCATTTAATTCTGCATCATTGAGACATCCATTCTATCTGTACCTAATGACGCAGAGTCTAGAACCACTGTGCTTCTACCTCCTCAGTGAGTAACCTCCATGCTTCTTCCCACCTGAGAAAAAGCCATTTATACATAATTCAGCCAATCATTTTGTTTGCCCAACTTTACTTTCTGTAGTATCTGCCATCTCAATTTCTATGGATTTATGTTATTTTTGTCTAGTGCTATCATTTTAGTGGAGTTGGGGAGGGAGATGAGATACATTGTATGTTTATTCTTTAACTTTCAACCAATGGCTGTACACTCTCTTTTGTATTTTTGTTAAAAAATAATACTAAAACAAACAACCAAATTTTAGGACTTGGAAGACATGTTCTCTTTTGGTTTACTCAGTAGAACCACTCAAGCTACTATTGCAAATAGTCTGGATGAATGAAAAGTGTTGTGTTGTTGTTTTTTAAGATATATGTGGATTATTTAGGTCACTGGTAATATTTTTAATTAGGTAAGAATATCTTTTAAAATAAAGTACAGGGTCTTTTTAAGAGATACATTTTCAAAATTTGAGAAATATGTAGCATTCATCATTTGGAAAACTAGAATATCTGCTAGTGAAAGAAAAAATACTTTCCTATAATAGCAAATGGGTGGTTAGAATATCAAACTGCTATAATAATTTTATAACATCTTTTATAAAAATTCTGGCAACTGAAGTTCACTTACGAAAGAATTCAAATAGACTACTTTTGTCCATGTAGAGTGCTCTTTATTCTGAAAGGATATCTTAGTCTGCTCTTGCTGCTATAACAAAATACCATAGACGGGGCTTAACCAGCAGAAATTTATTTTCTTACCATTCTGGAGGTTTGAAGTTCAAGATCAGGGTGCCAGCGTGGTCAGGTTCTTAGTGAGAGTACTTTTCCTGTTTTGTAGATAACCACCCTCTTGCCATGTATTCACAAGGCCTTTCCTCTGAGCATGTACATGGATAGAACTCTTTCTTTCTTCCTCTTATAAATCTCATCATGTGGGCAAAACCCTCACGGCCTCATCAATATCTAATAGAAACCCACACCTGAAACATGTATGATCACATTAACCAATGTCACACCAATGCCACCACAATACATTTAATAATTTAAAAAAAGGCAAAATATATAAGTAAAATGGAAAAAATAAACCTAATTACTTATAAAAGGTTGAATTTCCAAATACCATCACTTTGGGGCTTAAGGCTTAAGTATATAATTGGGGATAGCACAAACAAGTGTCACATAACAAAATACCTCTGTGTTAATATGTATCATTACATTATATATAAACTAGAGGCCGATGCACAAAATCTATCCAGAAGGTTGTTCAGCTGTCCATATTATTTAGCATATTATGCTTATATTATTATTGATAAAAATTAATTTTATTTTTCCTGTAGCTCCTCATAATTTATAGGGTACATTTCTAAGTTAGAAAATGATTTTCTCTTTTTTTATTCATTTAAAGGACATCCTATATAAAGAGGTACTATGCAAATTGACCATCACACCCTCACACAAGATGGTCATTCCCATGTGGTTACAAGATGGCTGGCACAAGATGGCTGGCAGGATAGTGCAGTTGGGGGTGATCAGGCCAATAGGGGAGGGCAGTTGGGGATGACAAGGCCGGTAGAGGAGGGCAGTTGAGGACAACTAAGCCTTCAGGGAAAGGCAGTTGTGGGCAACCAGGCTAGTAGGGGAGGGCAGTTGGGGGTGATTGGGCTGGTAGGCAATTGTGCCTAGAATGTTTTGATATTGTTAGCATGCTAAAAAAAACACACACCAAAAACAGAGCCCTGAAGATACTAATGAAAATAATGGGAATTATTGATTGTTCCATGAATACCATTTAGAAAAGTTATATCATTCTTGATTTCATGCTTTTCTGTTTATATTTTCAGTGAAATTGTAAAAAAAAGATGTTTTTTTCAAGACTAAACTGTTCCTTTTCCCTTTCAGGATGGCCATTTGGAAGCACAATGTGCAAAATCAGTGGTCTGGTTCAAGGAATATCCGTTGCGGCTTCTGTCTTCACATTGGTTGCAATAGCAATGGATAGGTAAGTCAGCACCACAACCTGAATCCAGAAAAATGTGCATGCAGCTAATCCACCTAACTGGAGAAGTATATAATGTAATAAATGGGATATATATATATATATATATATATATATATATATGAGAGAGACATAGAATATGTATATAAAGAGAATATACATATACACACACAGATAAAAAACATAAAATTTAGTATAATTATTGACATAAAAACTTAATAGATTCTATTTTTAATATTAATCTATTGTTTCATGATTATTTACACTGTTTTAATATATTTCTAGGAATTTATCATGTAGATCTAGTTTATTTTGTTTACAGGTATAGAGAATAAATTTAAACATATACTAACCATTCTATAACAAAGATATTTTTTATATTAAGTTTCTAAATTTACTATGTCCTGTTACTATCAGACTATATTATTATTTTTTTTTTTGCATAATCTTTTTTTCTGGATCAGTCTGGCTAAAGATTTATTAATTGTATTTATCTTAATTTTTTAATTCAAGAAATTAGGTCTTGGTTTCATTGACCTAATTCCCTCTGTCCCTCACCTGAGGGAATTATTCTTCATTGCTTTCCAGAGAGAGTAGAAGGGAGGGGGGAAGAAGGAGAGAGAGAGAGAGAGAGAGAGAGAAGCATTGATGTTAGAGGGACACATCAGCTGGTTGCCTCTCACACATGCTTGACCAGAGGTGGGAGCAAACCCGCAGTCCAGGTATGTATGTGCCTTTGACTGGGAATTGAACCCAGGAATCTTTGGTGTGAAGGCCAATGCTCTAACCATTAAGCAACACTAACAAGGGCTTAATGCTATTTCATATGTTTTCTTTTGGGCTCTATTTTGATTATTTCTGCTCTGATATTTATTTGCTTTTCTTTTTCTATTCACTCTGGGCTTTGTTTGTTCTTTTCCTAATTTCTTTAGGTGTAAAAAAATGTTTATTGAACCTTTTTCTTTGTTTCTTTAGGTAGGCCTATATTGCTATGAATTTCCCTTTAGAACTTCATTTGTTGTGTCCGTGAGTCATGTGTTTTCATTTTATTTGTCTCAAGGTATCTTTTTATTTTTTTCCTTGATTCAGTTGTTAACCCATTCATTGTTTAGTAGCATGTTATTTAAACTCCATGTGTTTGTGTATTTTTCTTCAGGTTTTCTTGTAATTGATAGTTTCATACCATTGTGATTGGAGAAGATGCTTGATATGATTTAAATCTTTTTAAATTTGTTGAGACTTGTTTTGTAGCCTAACATATTGCCTATCCTGGAAAATGTTTCAAGTGTGCTTGAAAAAATGTATATTCTGCTTCTTTGGGGTAAAATGGTCCAAAAAATATCAACTAAATCCATGAAATCTAATGTGTCATTTCAGGCACTCTTTCTTTATTGACTTTCTGTCTGAATGATCTATCAATCGATGTCAGTGGGGTGTTAAAGTCTTCTATGATTACTATCAATCTCTCCCTTTTTGTCTATCAAATATTTGTTTTGTTTATTTAAGTGCTCCTGAATTGTGTGCATTGATGTTTACATTGATTATATCCTCTTATTGGATTGATCCCTTTCTCATTGTGACATGTCCTTCTGTTTTTTTTGTTATTGTCCTTACTTTAAAGTCTAGTTTATCTGATATAAGTATTGCTACACTAGCTTTTATTCATTTCTATTTGTATAAAATACCTTTTTGCATTCTTTTTCTTTCAGTCTGTATGTGTCTTTCAATCTAGTATATGTGCTGCCGAAGTGAGCACGTGTCTTTCAATCTAGTAGATCTCTTATAAGTGGCATATGCTGAGGCTTGTTTTCTTATCCATTCAGGCACCCCTACATTTTTTATTAGAACATTTATCCATCTACAGTTAAAGTAATTATAGGTATCTAGTAATTGCTATTTTAGTTTTCATATTTTTAATCTTTTTTCTCCTTAAAGCAGGGAGAAAATTTCTTATAATACTGGCTTGGTTGTGCTGAACTCCTGTAGCTTTTTTTTTTTTTTTTTTTTTTTTTTTTTTTTTTTTTTTTTTTTGTCTTCAAAGTTTTTCATCTCTCCTTTGATTCTAAATATTAGCCTTGCTGGGAAGAGTAGTCTTGTTTATAGGTCTTTGCTTTTTATCATTTTGAATATTTCATGCCAATCCCTTCTGGCCTGCAAAGTGTCTATTAAGAAATCAGCTCACAGTCTTAAGAGAGCTTCCTTGTAGTTAATTAACTGCTTTTCTTTTGCTGCTTTTAAGAATCTCTCTTTGTCTTTAATCTTTGACATTTTAATTATGATGTTTGCCTCTTTGGATTCAGTCTGTTTGAAACTCTCTGTGCTTCTTGCACTTGTGTAGATTTTGGTCATTATTTCTTCAAATAGGTTTTCAATCCCTTGCTCTCTCTTCTTCTTCCTATACCCTTATGATGTAAATATTGTTATGCTTGATGTTGTTCCAGAAATTTCTTAAATTATCTCACTGTTTGATTCTTTTTTTTTCCTTGCTGTTTTTATTAAGTTTCTCCCACTACCTTGTCTTCCAAATTGCTGATTATGTCCTCTATTTCATCTAATATACTGTTGATTTCCTCTAATATATTCTTCATTTCAGCTATTATAGTCTTCATTTCTGACTGGCTCTTTTTTATGTTTTCTATCTCCATTTTTATGCTTCCTATCTCTTTGTTAATGTTCTCACTGAGTTCATCTAAGTTTATTGAACATCCTTATGACCAGTGTTTTGAACTGAGGCTACTATTTATGAGATTGAAAAAAAGAATAGAGTAAATCAATGGAGCAAAGAAGATTGCCTTCTCTGTAGTAGCTAGTCCTTATTTAATCAGTTGAAGACCTGAGTAGAACAAAAAGACTGACCTTCCTATAAGTAAGAGAAAACTTCTGCCTGATTTTACCTAGGACATCAGTCTTTTCCTGCCTTCATACTGAAAATGAAATGTCAGTTCTTCTGGGGTCTTGAGCCTACTATTTTTCAGGCTGGAACTTAATATCAGTGGCACATCTGACTCCCAGGCCTTCAGACTTGATCTTCCCATTTGCCAACTGCAGATCTTGGGACTTCTCAATTACATAATTACATGAGTCAATTCCTTATAATAAACATCTTCAAATATATCTATGCATCCTGTTGGTTCTGTTTCCCTGGTGAGCCCTGACTAATGCACTGGCCAAGTTCAAACTCTAGCATGATGAGAAAAACTACACAGTCAATTTTCATTGACTAATTTCCTGGCAGAGAACATTCTCTTTATTATTCATCTTTGTCTTTCTGATGCATATATTTGTTGAATGAACCAATAAGTAAAATATTTGTGGTTCTCATAGTTGGTTTACAAAAAGAGAAAAATATCTAGAATTGTGCCTATGAAGTTACCAGTAATTTATTGGTGAGTAAATGGGAGGATTCACTGACCAGAAAACTAGAAGAAAGCTTGGAGGTTAAGACAGAAGATCTTATGCCTGTGATGAAGTGGTTCTAAGGGACAACAGAGCAATCAAAGCTCAAGCTGACTACTCATTACATGAAGTTATGTCAGATAAATTAATTTGAGTTGTCATTGAACCATGCCAAAGCTCTGTTTTCTTAAGTGCAGATCTAGAAAGTAATAATTTTCTTAACTTTTATGTTGTATAGCGTCAACACAAAAATCAAAGAAGATTAAATAGGTGATTGTAACTTGAAAACTATAAAATGTTATACAATTTACTTAAGTAATTCCCACATTCTTCTCAAAAATTATAAAATTATAATTATAAAAATATAAAATTATGGTATGATTATTTTATAATTAACATAATGAATATCAGTAATAGTAATAGGAAGAATCATAAGAACAAAATAACAGTAAAGTGAATCAGACTCACTATACATACTGATGCTGAATTTTTATGTTCACCAGAGGACATAGACCTTTGGGAAAGTGCATAATCAGAATTCATAATAGAAACTCAGCTCTCATAGCTGTGAAGCAAACCACCAAAACACATAGTGGCTCAAAATAATAATTCCTTAGTATGATTCATGATTCTGTAGATTGGTTGATTGCTTCCTGTGTTTCTGCTCAGTGTGCTATAGCTGAAATCAGTACTGCTGCAGCATTACCCTGGGATCTAAACTAGGGCTGTATCATTCTGAATGACCAGCCTCTCATGCCCCAGGGTCTTTCTCCACACAGTCTCTTATCTAATTCAAGCATCTTTACAACCCAGTAGCTGGCTTTCAAGAGGAAGCATTCCAAAAGGACAAGCCCCAATATACAAGGGCATAAAAAGCTTGTGTTTATGTCATGCTTGCCAATGTCCCATTGGCCAAGGCAAGTGAAATGGTCAAGCACACAGTTAACATGAGAGAGGGCCACAGAAGGGCATGAAGAAGAAGAGGTTAAGAATATGGGCTTTAAAGGTAAACTACTTGTGTCACAATTATGTGTACTTATGGGCAACATCTTTACCTTTTCTAAGCCTGTTTTCTCATTTTATTTTATTTTTAATTTTTAAAAATATATTTTATTAATTTTTTTTACAGAGAGGAAGAGAGAGGGATAGAGAGTTAGAAACATCGATGAGAGAGAAACATCGATCAGCTGCCTCTTGCACACCCCCTACTTGGGATGTGCCCACAACCAAGGCACATGCCCTTGACCAGAATCGAACCTGGGACCCTTCAGTCCGAAGGCCGACACTCTATCCACTGAGCCAAACCGGTTTTGGCTGTTTTCTCATTTTAAATGATGGTGCTTAAATAGATAATTCATGCAAACAATGGAAAATAATGGAAGAGAGTATTACATATTCATGCTCAATACACAGTAGTTCCTACTATTACTTTTATTAATAATAGTGTCTAATATACATTTATTTATATTTTCATTGAAATGTACCTCATATAAATTACAGAAAATGGCAATGCATGCCTTTCTACTACTAATGGTAACTTTCTATGTTTTTGAGAAGAATGTGGTAATCACTTAAATAAATGTCATTCACAGGTCAGAAGTTATGAGGCACTGCCTCAACTGATATTTGCCTTTAATTACAGGTTTCGGAGTGTTGTCTACCCTTTTAAACCAAAGCTCTCTATCAAGACAGCAGTTGTCATTATTGTGATCATCTGGGTCCTGGCCATTGCCATTATTTCCCCATCTGCAATAATGTTACATGTACAAGAAGACAAATATTACCAGGTGAAACTCAACTCAGAGAATAAAACCATGCCAATCTACTGGTGCCAGGAAGACTGGCCAAATAAGGAAATGAGAAAGATCTACACTACTGTGCTGTTTGCTAATATCTACCTGGCTCCCCTGTTCCTCATTGTCATCATGTATGGGAGGATTGGAATTTCACTCTTCAAGATGCCAGTGCTTCACACAGGCAAGCAGAACCAGAAGCAGTGGCACGTGGTGCCCAAGAAGAAGCAGAAGGTCATTAAGATGCTCCTGATTGTGGCCCTACTTTTTATTCTCTCCTGGCTGCCCTTGTGGACTCTGATGATGCTCTCAGACTACGCTGAGCTGTCTCCAAATGAACTACAGGTCATCAACATCTACATCTACCCTTTTGCACACTGGCTGGCCTTTTGCAATAGCAGCATCAACCCCATCATTTATGGTTTCTTCAATGAGAACTTTCGCCGTGGTTTTGAAGATGCTTTTCACCTCAAGTTCTGCCAAAAAAGAGCACAGTCCAAGGAAGCCTTTGCCCTACGAGCTGAAAACAATGTGGTCATAAATACATCTCACCAGTTAGCCCACGAACCTTCAATTCAAGACACACATGAGGAAAATTTTCTTTAGAAACAGTGTGGAAAACCCCGAACAGAAATTGATGGAAGAATGAGGAGGAGCTACCAATAGCAATGAGATTATAAAAAGAGCTGGGGTGGTGATTTCAACTCTACTGTGTTATATATTGAAATGCTGTCACTAACTATAGTTTTGTACTTCAGTTGTTTCTAATAATGTTCCAAAGAAAACATGTAGAGAAAGCCCTCTCTGGAAAAATAAAAGTAAACAAAAATGGTTTTATGTTCATAACCAATTTTGCAGCATGTAAAATATGTCAAATGACAAATATGTTTGCCTGGATAAATCTATTTTCTAGCAACATATTGCAAAGCTTGACCTTTTCAACTTAACTATTTGTGTATGAGACAAGCATGTGCATTATGTCTATTGATACATGCACACATGAATGCATATGTGCATTATGTCTATTGATACATGCACACATGAATGCATACACACAGAGTTCCCATATGATGATAAATTGGTAGTTTTTTGCATGAGAGTACATTTTGTCAAGTCTCCCTTTGCTTTTCTATTTGAAATTTTAGATTAAAAATTGTCTTTTTTTAATTTGTATTTAAATGTGATTTTTTTTGTATTTAAATGTTTTTGGTTTTTTATTTGTATTTAAATGTTTTTTTTTTCTTTTAAAGAATATATAGTTGGTAAAAATCATAGCATTGTTTCATAGGAATTACTGTCATTTTTTAAATTTTTTATAAGTGAAGTTTATGCCCTACCTGAGTCCATGATTCTTACAGAGGTGATTCAGGACCCAATTTAATCCCCTTGTTAATAGAATATGTGACACAAAAAGGCAAATCTCTCAGTGGAGCAGTTGGCAGAATAATGGCAGCTCTCTTTTGAAGTGCTTAATCAGGGACACTCAAAATCATCTAAGGCCCTACCTGGTTTGGCTCAGTGAATAGAGTGTCAGCCTGTGGACTGAAGGGTCCAAAGTTCAATTTTGGCCAAGTGCACATGCCTGGGATTGCTAGCTCAATCTTCTGCAGGAGGCATGCAGAAGGCAGCCAATCAATGATTCTCTTTCATCATTGATGTTTCTATCTCTCTCCCCCCTCTCCCTTCCTCTCTGAAATCAATGAAAATATATTTAAAAAATCATCTAAGACTCCTATAAAGTCTGTGCAAAGCCAAACCAATTATTCCAAATTTTCTACTGAGCACAACATTTAAATTTAGCACTCCTACTGGTTTAGTAAATTGGTACTGATATTTTAAAGAGAATTGCAACCCCCTGAATTCCCCTGTGTTATAATTATGTTGATGGTAGTTGTAAATGCTAGCTTTTAGGGGGATATAAGTCCCTAGAAAATTGGGAATTATAAAATAATAGTCTGGCAAATAAAAATCTCTGGTCTTGGAACTATTGTGTTTTTCAAGTCATTTATGTAGTTCAATCTAAAAGCTTTTCAATAATATAGGCCTTTGAGAAAATAATTGTTGAGTTTTTAATTAAATTAAGATTTGTGATATTTGAATATGCAAGTGCTATTTCCTGCAGCGAGGGAAACTTTATGAAGTTCTGCTGTGCAGTCTTCCAAATTCAGGTTCCTGTGCCTAATGTGCGGTTAAAACCATTCACTGAAATACCAATGCTGGGAGGCAGAACGGATTATTTGATTTGGCCAGAGCAAGAAGAGTGGAGAGCAAGATCTTTGAAATTTATCTTCCCCAAAAGGCAAAAGGAGGGAGTTTTTATGTAGCTAATGAGTAGGGGAGAGGGTCTTTCAGGGAACTGAGGAAGAAACGGAGTGTTTCTTCTATTTCAAATAACACTTTGTGCAGCCAGACTTTTAGGCATGAGCAGATGATCACAACTTTCTTAAAGGCCCTCCTTCTGCACATAAACCCATAATTTGTCTTTGTGACCTTGGAGTTAGCTCCTCCTGCTAGACAAGGAAGCAATGTACAATATATTGTGAGAACAAGGGCTGCTTGCAGGGAGAGCAGTTAACATGTGTAAATGAGCAAGGTACAACTATACTTTCAACTCTGCCCTCATTTACTGAAATACTATTTATAATGTCTAAGTTGGTGTACTGAGACATCGAATATTATTTTGTTAGAAACTATCACTTTCTGATGGGCATGCTCACATTCTACCAGTTCCTGAAAGTCATCTTAACTAAGTCCCTTACCCTTATCTGTTAACTAGTTAAAATTTTTATCACCTCCAATTCCTCATTACCTGTTTCCCATCAGTGATAAAACTCATCACTGAATCCCATCTTGGCTTTCAGCTTTGTCTTTAAATTCTTTCCATAGTTGGCGGAGTCATCTTCCTGAAAAAGAGGGTGAATGTGTATGTGTTCTTTGTAAAAACACCTTAAGAAGCTCTATAAAGCATGTATAGACACTCAAGGCTCACCTAAGCCTGGCTCTTGTCTCCTGTTTGCATCTACACCACAAATTGTTTTCTAAACTCCAGTCAAACTAAGATGGTCAGCTTAGATTGTGGTATTTTTTTTTCATTTATGAGTTATTCTCTGCCTGTCTACCCTTTGTCCAAAGCCTATTAAAACACTACCTCTTAGAAAGTCTGTTTTTATTCTTATAATCAGAGATGTGTATTTCCTCTTCTAAGCATTATGAGCCTCATGTATAAAAACCTCACCTGTATGGTGATTATTCTGTCTTCTCCTGGCAACTGGAATATACATTCCTCAAGGGCATTTGTTCCTCCCTTGAGCATTGTGCACTTCTTGCATGACAAACTCAATTATATTGTAATTAGAGGCCTGGTGCATGAAATTTGTGCATGAAATTTGTGTCCCTCAACCCTGCCTGTACCCTCTCCAATCTGGGACATCCCTCTCACAATCCAGAACTGTTGGTTCCCACCAGCTCACCTGCCTGTCTTCCTGATTGCCGCTATCTGCTTCTGCCTGTCAGCCTGATCACCCCTAACCACTCCCCTGCTTGCCTTATTGATGCCTAACTGCTCCCCTGCCACCCTTTTTGCCCCTTACTGCCCTCCCCTGCAGGCCTGGTCACCCCTAACTGCCCTCCCCTGCAGGCCTGGCCCCCACCCCCAACTGTTCTCCCCTGCAGGCCTGGTCCCCTACAACAGTCCTTCCCTGCAGGCCCGGTTGCCTCAACTTCTCTCCTCTGCTGGCCTGGTCACCCCTAACTGCCTTCCCCTGGAGGTGTGGTTGCCCCCAACTGCCCTCCCTTGTAGAAACTGGTCCCTCCCATCTGCCCTCTCCCACTGGCCATCTTGTGGTGGCCATCTTGTATCCACATGGGGTCAGTCATCTTTTTTTAAAAATTTATTTTATTTTATTTTATTTACAGAGAGGAAAAGAGAGGGGTAGAGAGTTAGAAACATCAATGAGAGAGAATCATCGATCAGTTGCCTCTTGCACACCCCCTACTGGGGATGTGTCTGCAACCAAGGTACATGCCCTTGACTGGAATCAAACCTGGGACCCTTCATTCCGCAGACCGATGCTCTAGCCACTGAGCCAAACCAGTTTTGGTGGTCAGTCATCTTTGACCACATGGGGGCAGCCATCTTGTGTGCTGGAGTGACAGTCGATATGCATATTATTCTTATTAGATAGGAGGATTAGATAGGATAGAGGCCTGGTGCACAGTTGGGGAGCAGCTGGTTTGCCCTGAAGGGGGTGTACTGGATCAGGGTAGGGGGCCACTTGGGGCTTGGGGCAGCCTTGGTGAGGGGCCTGTGGTGGTTTTCAGGCTGGCCACACAAACCCTCCCCCCCACCCCCGGCGACCCAAGTGGAGGCCCTGGTATCTGGGATTTATTTATCTTCTTTAATTGAAACTTTGTCTTGAGCAGAGCCAAGCCTCCTGCTCACTCTATGGCTGCAGCCATTTTTGTTGGGATTTACTGATCTTCTATAATTGAAACTTTGTAGACTTAAGCAGAGGCCAAGGCAGGCCAGGGTTAGAGAAACTTGGCTTCCTCCATCTCTGGGGTAAACTCAAACCTCCTGCTATCTCCAGCTCCGTGACTGACACCATTTTTATTGGGATTTATTCATCTCCTACAATTGAAACTTTGTAGCCTTAAGCGAAGACCAAGGCAAGCCAGGGCAAGCAGAAAGCTTGGCTTCCTCCATTGTCAGGGAAATCTAAGCCTTCTGCTCTCTCTGTGGCTGCAGCCATCTTGGTTGAGTTAATTTGCATACTTACTCCTGATTGGCTGGTGGGTGTGGCTTATGGGTATAGCAGAGGTATGGTCAATTTGCATATTGCTCTTATATTAAATAGGATTGTTCTATCTTTTTCTTGCAACTACAAAATAAATTTGTCAAGGGCATGATGAATTAAGGCTTACTGGTCTTTAGATGCCCTACAATGTATATCATAATAGCAATAATAACAAGAACTCAATTTTTTGAGCCTTATATGCCAGAAATTTTATAGACATTTGTATTGTTCATTCCTATTTTATAGGTATGAGCACTAGAATTTTGAGACAGTAAGTAAGTTATCTAAAATTGTGTAGGTAAGTTCTGAGTAAGCTGTGAGTGGGACACAGGTCCCCAAGTAGTTTCAAAGCCTATTCTCTTGCATCGGATTGTACTTTTAAATGAAGCATCCTTGGATGTTCTGCATAAAACTTTTTTTAACCTCTCAAATTCTCTTATAAACACCAAGCAGCAGAGTTGTCAGAAAAAGGGAATAAAATTATGTGTTTTCTCATCAAAATTGCAAGGGAGACAATATAATGCTGAATAATACATAACTAATTTCAGACTAAATAGACATTTCGTTTAGAAACACACTTATTAGATCAATTTTTTCTATATAACTATGTTACATCTGTCAAAGACTACAAAGAGAGTGAAGAAATGAAAGAAAACCAGAAAGAATTAAATTAGTGCTTTAACAATCTCAGCTATTCATTTATTTGGAGATGTTTTTTAGCTGTTGCAATCTTACAATTCCATGGGTAGTAAGCAAAGTCATACTTCTCAAGTCAAGGTTCTTTGGCTTTTAGCAATAGTTTCTTTCCATTCTCCCAATCCTTAGCTAAATGAGTCACCTGCAGCACCTCATTTCTTCCAATATAATTCTGTATTAGTTGGATCTCCTTATGTTGCAAATGAACTAGAAACTGTGCTTTCAATGTAAGCAGGGAATTGGTTGTCTCATACTACCTGAATATCCAATGGTAGGCAACTCAGGTGTGACTTGATCCAGGAGCTCAAAGGATGTTGGCTAAAATATGTCTATTTCTTGCCACTGATTTTTCCACATTCACTGAATTCTCAGGCACATAATTTTCTTATAGTAGCCAGATGGATAATTTTCTTATAGCAGTACCAGACTCATACCTTAAAAACTTGGAAATTTTAATAAAAATTGTATCTTTCTGAAATAGTTTTGATACAGATTGTTTTATTGAGCAGGATAATTTATTTCCCAGGTTTTTATCCAGATGGATTCAAAGAATGAAGCCGTAGACAAAAGGTAGTAGGTGAGAAGTATGGAAACTTTATTGCAATCAAATACTGCCTCTGAAACCTTAATTCTAAATTCTAAGCTTAAAACTCTGTCCCTC